TGGGTTAGGCGTTCCGTCCATCCTGCTTCACGTGATCTTATCGCATGTTGTTTACTTCCCAGTTAAAAGGTGAATTTTGAAGACCTATTATCGATTCGGATACTAGTGACTTCGTTATGCGATGTTTACTAGGGTTGGGAACAGCATTCATAATAATACCATTCCTAAAAAGCCGTCTTGTTCTTCTTCCGCCATTTGGCCGATTCAGTGATTTATCTGTCCAATCTAACTTCGTCAAAAACAAAGATCCATGGCAGCGCGATAGGTAGTACACCCTCATCGCTCTGCTGACTGCCTAAAGTCCCCCTTAAGATGGGGCTGGTTATGGTGAAACGAATAAAATTCATCTGATGAGCGAAGCTCGTATCTGAGAGCCAGTTAACAGATCACGTGATTGTAGGATAGATGCCGCTATATCCTGCCCAAGTGCGAGTGAATCATACCACTGCTCAGCCGCACCTAACCGTACAGGTAAGTCTTCACATTAACAGCTTGGAGAACGCCGGTTCGAGAGGTGACGTCCAGTAAGGATGAAGCAGCAGCCAGTGTAGTTTGACTTCATTAAGAGTCTCATTGGTAAGATGGGACCCATCGTAACACCATATTGATGTCTTCAGGTGATACAGCTGTTGAAAGCATGGTAGAAGCACTTTGTTAGAGTCAAGGAGTGGGGTGGGTAACGTACTGTTTCACTTTGGGATGAAATGACGGGTAACCTCAACAGATTCCCAAGGACGAGATCTCTACTGAGCCAATGTGCTTGTCTATGACACCTATCGTTTGATTCGCTTGAAGGAAGTTGGATGTGCGCTTTAGGCTATTCCTGCGCAAAATTTTACGGATAGACACAATTGACACTTTTAAGCAGGTGAGTTACTCACATAAAAAATCTGTGTGGCTAGCAGGCGGTCTTGTGTATTCTCGGAAGGCCATATCTAAGATGGATGGTTGTACCGCTGTCCCATGTTGGTCTTTCGTAAGATGGCAACTGTCTTTGCAAACGTTTTTAGCACACGGCTGTTGATGCTCGCATTTTCACCGTACCACTATTTTCTTTTGGGTTAAAAGTAACATGATCACATTGGTTCAGAAGAACTATTGCGGATCTTTTGTCTTGATGCAATGGAACGGCATCCTGCCCACTAAGCAGGTCCTTCAAAGCTTGCATAAGTTCGGGCGTAATGGACCTTTTTGGTCACGAGGTTATGCAGGTTTTGGATAGTGTGGGTAAATCAGATACCCACATGAGAAAGCGATCACCTCGGAATGTTACTTTTCGCACTCTACTTAGCCTAAATAAGTAGCTAAGTGCTAAACTCTATCCAATCTGGCCTCCATGCTCCGCAGTCTGTTCATAATAGCACTGATACTAGTAAATCCATGGAAAGCACAAATTATATTGGTCCAGGTGTACGTCATATTTTGACACAATTAGTCTGAATTGCGTGGCCTCCTGGAGCAGGATGGGATCCTATCTAGCCGCTAAACGAAATGCCTGTCCTCTGGAACCAATAAATATGGCGCCGCCCGTGTCCTGGAAAAGTGTCTCCCAATACCATAGACACCACATTAGATTCTGGCAGATAACCAGTTGTTCCGATAAGCTGCCAATGCGCGGCCTTGGAAATCTGTGTATGGTCCGATAAGGACCAGCTAAACTATGTGAAATGATGTCCCATGAACTAGACATGAGAATAGACAAACTCCTTATCCAAAATGGCAGTGGCAGCCCATATGACCGAATCGATCGATCTTCGCTAGCACCAGCAAAATTCCTCTCGACCAGCCAGGCGAGAGTAAATCTCGTCGGTCATGATTCGTTCAAACATTTCCGCCTGATGTGCATGGCTCTTCTTGAAGCCCATCAGATCGGCGCATCCCCTGGGTTTACACCAACTGTGTGTTCGACTTGTCCTCGAAGCGGACACATTTGGCGAACAACACTCATTTGCAGATCAGATCGAGTTGGATTTTTAAGGCCATCAGCGTGGTGTTTAATTATCAAGTCCAAGACCAGAATGTTGGGTACGGGAGAAAACACATGAAGTTAACTCATCCGGAATGAATTCCACACAATATCAAATCGTTCAGTACAGTGAATAAAACAGGTTTGTGAGAGTAATGAAAGAACGGACAAATGAAGCAAAAATGCGAACCACAAGCGTTCATTAGTGGATCACTTAGGGCTCCCACGACATTACACAAAACGATGGTACATCGTGAACCAACTGTCACGTTTCGGTTTAAATTAGGTTGTTGGCGTACTCATTGAGTCCGCGTAGCTCGATCAAACCAAACCACAAAAATTCCACAAATAGAACATTGGCTACTTCGGGTTGAATGTTGGCTCGGTTAGCAAGTTTATTCCGCATGTTTACGCCGCATTTCATCTCAGTATCTCACATAGAAAACAAACTTGTTCCACACCGTTTGACCAAACAAGGGACATTTTCCAATAAAAGGTCATTCCCATTGATTACATCGTAAAGGACATTTCTTTTCACCGAACGATTTCCGATATTTCTAGTCCGTCGTGGAAAACATCTACCTCAAGCAGGCCATGAGTTGCCTTTTCCCTCGAATGTTCATACCAGCTTAGGTGAATTCTGGTAGGCTTTTCAAACTAATCAGCACCTGTTTTCGAAACACCCCGACGAATTTGATTTGAATACGATATGTTTCATGATACGTTCACCTGAGTGCATCTTCACCCGTATGCGGCATTCTGGGCCCCGGTGAACGCCCTGTTGTGGTGTTCCATTCAAAATCGCGTCCAACGTTGCGCTTTGCAATATTTCTTTGTCCGCACTACTGTCGTTCGTCTTTACTATCGATTCAGTTCATGCTAACCGGAACTAAGGAATGCATTCGACCAAACACTGATACCGAGAAAGAGCATATATTACATATTTTGTAACAATCTCTATGATCAGCTGAGAAAAACCCGTAAGGACATTATCAATTACGTCGCAGGTAAACGAGTGATATTCATATGGATTCGAAGACCAACCTGATGTAAGATGTAAACCAAACTGGTTCAATCAAGCTCATCAATTAAACAAGTTCACTTGTGTGCTAAAAACTGCCGGAACTTTTTATTTCCATTGATGTAGGGTGACAGAATGGCACCTAAAGATCGGTCATGTATGGGAAACTCATATGATGTGGACAATACATTCACTTCAATATCCCCTTGCTTGCAAATCAGTGCAATTTGGGTCTAAGTAGAACGCAAAGTTGACGGAAACTCGAGGACCCTTCGGCAGCCCACAACCGGTTTCATCCTTCTTGGGGCTCATCAGATAGGCGCAGTCCCCGAGTTTTCTTTATGAAAATATACTGCTATACCCAGAATATCGTACCAACTGAAACATGAAGGGGTCTGGTGCTGCACATTCAATTGCTTGAAAATATAAACGAGAGGTTCATCTGAGTGAGTCTCCCACAAAACCGAATCCGTTTGCAAATGAGTGTATTTCCCTAGAAATGATTTATTCATTTTGGCAACTTTCAGCGGTGTCCCAGTTTCGTACGATTTTGATAATTTCGACCACGACGTGGCCGCTCCACAGGAAAACAGAACCAATACCCTAAAATTGCATTTGTCGTGTGAGTCTGCGATCCACTTCAAGGATGTGTAACGTAAACGTAACCGTTAAGCTGTAGCACCCTTTCGGTACCTAGCTGCCGTGCCACCCGAAGGAAGCACGAGGGCTGGGATACTGCCAGGTTGCCCAAGCCTAGACAGGGGAAGTCGAGAGGCAGAAGTCGGGTTCGAACCACGGACCTTCCGGTCAGTAAATTCGCGCTCTAACCAGTTGGACCATCTCGCCCCTCAAGGTTGTGTAGCCTCACACAAGCACGTTCTTGCGACTTCTGCCTGCCTTGATGCGGACCAGTATTCGTCTAGGCAGACTGTAGAGACAACACCTTGATGTGTCAAGCATCCTTTTTTGTTTCCCGTTCCCATTTTCCTGCTATAACCAGTCGATTATGGTTCGTCCATAAGCCGGTGTTCTGACTCGATGGAATATGGTGCAGACTCGATGTTACACCACAATAACTCGGCCCAGATATGGACGAATGTGACAAAAAACAATTTCTACCGGTGAGGTGCCGGATACTGTCCACTTAAGAAAACAAGTTGATTGGTTATCAAAGGACTACACTCGGTTGTTTTCTTTCGCACTCCACTCTCGTTGATCGATTTCGAATTCCTCGGTACTTATAAACCTCGAAACATATATGTAGTAATAGTATAGTTCTTTCTGGCTTTTGTGTCAGCTCAGTTTGTAGCTGATTCCAATACCATTAGACGGCAGAACTGATAAAGAAGGTGTAAGTTACTCAACCACTGACCTAAGTGAACTCACCTGCTCAATTTCGCGTCCCTTACTTGGGGTTTTCACACACTGGAAGTGTATTTAAATGCTTACAGGGAACGTCTTCCACCTGTCCGACCAAATAGTACCGTTCGCCGACCCCTCTGCCCCTCATCAGAAAGATCTCTGGTGACACAGTGTGCGTAATAAAAGGGTTATACCTTGTTTTCGTGATCGCTCTGAGGGTAGTTTAAAACTCCTTCGGATGCCGTGAAGAATTTTTCCTACACAAAGCCTTCAGTGTACATTTCCTGCTTTAGTAATTGAAAAATTGAGAAGCTGAAAGATACTGCTGAACACATGCACATTTACAGGAATACGTGAAATATGTCTTCCTTACTGTGGCCACAATCTTTTTCAACCAATCTTTTTCAACGCGTTTGATAAAGCCCATCGGTTCACGGAGTTCGCGTTCGGATCGAACTGTATATCTCTATTGTCACCGCTCATGTACCTAGTACCGAAAAAAAAGACTCACTGACATATAACACGACAACTTTTTGCGGGCGACCGCAAAAGTTACAACGACCTCACGCTATTTAAAGGGCACTTTATGGCATTGATCCAGGCTGTCTGACAGGCGTTTAGTGAACATCCATCAGCGTCGACCGTGCTTCTATGAAATTCCTGAACACTTATCATAGTCGATCGTGCTTCTGTAACGTGCCTGAACACTCATCGGCTTTTGCTGAATTGAGTGACTGGCCTGACTGATTGCCGGCTTCCTTAGTGAGGTTTTGATAGAGCTTTGTAACTTTGGAACAAAGACAAAAGTCTGACGGATTGGTGAGGCTAATTTGATTTGCCGAAATCCTGGAAATTGGATAGGCACTCATGACGAATGCGTTGAGGGGTAACGGGTGCCCCGGATGCTTCATCATTTAAACCAGTGCGTGACAGTCTGTTCCCCCGGTCATCATTTAGGTAGAAAATAGGCTTCTTTTAGGAGTCTGCCCCTACTGGCAATTTGGGTCAACTTTCAGGCTTACAGGCTCCTGCAGCGTAAAGTTGCAGCAACAATTCTGTGATCCTGGTCCATTAAGAACACGACCCTCCACTTAAAGTTGAGAATTTAAACGAAAACAAAACTCCACTCATCTCCGGAACGTGATAAATAACTTTCCGTTTGATATTTTACGGCTGGATATGTTGACAGTGCGAAACTACTTTCCCTTTTGAACTACCAGCACATTAATCAGGCCAACTGAAAGTGCCGTCGCTTCACACTTAGTCGACGCGGGTCATACTGTCGACCGGGCAGAACCGTTTCTTGTCATGTAAAGGCTTCCGTATGAGGTGCCGAATTCGAGAGCCTTGAATTGGCTACTTTGATTTACGGAGTAGTATATAAGTGATCTGGTAGACTATTCTGCATTGGTCGGTCGAAACGGCTGTGCGTGTCATGGTCTGGTCCACGTGCGCACGTGCCATCACTTGATTGGTCAACTGCGCCACAGTCCATTTAATCTTGCTGACCAGAAAAACTTCACGTTATACGCGCAGCATTTGGCGTAAGTTTACAGATATTTGTAAGGTTGAGTATAATGCCTGCCTAACGGGCTTAATACATTTCCTCTGTAAGCGCTTGATAGTAATACGTTTTCTTGTGTCCGCTTTTTGTTGGATTTGGTACCCATTCTATACAATGAACCAAACTCTCCTGACATTCCTGTGAAAACGCGTGGTAGTAACGGACAATTTCCGCGAATCCGGATGTAGTCTTACGACAACACGCCGAATGGTTGAACGATGTACTGGAAAATGGACACGAAAGCATCAAGAAAATGAGCAAGCTGAGTCCGGAAAATGCTGAAGGGACACTTGTAGGATCCCTCGGCTAGTTGTGAACAACCGAGACGGTGGGTAGTACTTCCTATCTGTACTTAGTTATCTGAAGGCAACCCCCGAGCCATTTTCTCCTCGCAGGTATTTTGAGGTAGTCGTTCCCATTGTTCACAGTACCTACATGGTCTCGAAAATCCAACATCGAAGCATACCACTTTTTACAGCGAAATATGGATGTGGTTGCCCTCAACATGCGAGCAAGACGGGGCTCACCTCTGACTACTTTCCAATCTCTTTTGAGCTTTGTATTCCCATGATCCCATTGGGTACTTTAACCCACTTGGTGGGAACACAGCACAAAACAATGCCAATAAAGATTAACTTCAGTGGAGCAGCATAGTTCAGAAGTGGATCATTGGTTCGCCGTAAAAGGATGATACGATCTTGTAGTGGGTGAGTTGTGTCCGTATTGACGTGAGGCGGGCTGTGTACCCAGTGTTTCCCAGTGACATAAGCCCTACGAGCGTGTGGACCTGGCAAATTAAATGATCAATCATATTGCCACAACGTCTGCCACGATTGGTCGGACACCATGTGACTGGCCAACTGCATATGGCACTACAGTTTCGTTGGTTAGACAGCCAATCAGAGAAAACCACGGAAAGGGGAACGATTTAAGATTCAGCTACAGTTCATGTGAGTCTTTCGTGGATGCCAAATTGGTATGCAAGTGAGGGTATTTGACAAAAGTTTGCGTTATGTATTCAGATCACATTTATGCTATAAGGATACGAATTTGATGTTGACGTTGACCAAGTTCTTGTCACCAATTTCTTGACGTCTAGCAGGACTAGAGCGCAGATCCCCCTGGAAGAACAGGGACAAATGCGATAAGAAATACATAACCAAGTAGTTTTTACATCGCAAGTCCCTTTAATGGGACAGCGAGTGTTTTCTTAGCCCATAGTTACTAACTATAATTTCTTCAAACTAATCCTCTAATGACTAATTGTTTCTTGGTCCCATCCACCCCGAAAGTTCGCTAATTCCTGACGCGCCAGTGAGGTAAATGCTACAACAACGAAGATTAATTTTCACCACCATTACATAATTTCACGCTGTTTCGTTTATGTCCTAAGGAATGTCCTGGATACTTTTGATTGGAACTGTCTTTTGTCTGGTCTTACTATGGAAACTGTACACATATATCACGACTCACGCAGAGTGTCAGCTTCCACATCGTCTGGATGGACAGCTGGCTATTGTGACCGGGTGTAACCAGGGCATTGGATTGGAACTGGTTGGCGAACTGTCTCGCCGTGGTGCTCGAGTGATCATGGCATGCAGGGACTTGGGGCGAGCGGAAGCAGGGCGGCAACAGTTGTTGTACCGCTTTGGGAAATGTGTCAACGTGGAGTCTTCCAAGCCATACCAGTCTCCCATCACGGAGGAGCAAGTGAGTCTATTCATCTCGTGCTTCAGGTAAACCTCACGGCAAGGTAGTTTGAACTATTTGAGTTAAAAACCACCGAACCGAGTACCAACTCAAGACCGATTGCTGATGAGTTTGTAATCAATTTGTAGGTGGATTTGTACGAAGTGACTTTTCATCAGATATCTGAAAATTTCTTAAAATTCCACCTAATTATGTATTACTGACCGTTGAGTTTATGACAATAAACCAAGGTATTTTACAGGTACTTGGTGTGTAAACAAAATGCCATACCTCCAGCACTCTCGTCAGCACGGAAACGACAAGAGTGACCTATAGCAAATTTCTATTTTGCTCAAATATCGCTGAACAGAGTCGTTCAGCTGTAACACGTTTTCTGTGCCTGGCTGTCATGCTATCCGAAGGAAACGCGAGGGCTGAGATGCTGCCAGGTTGCCCGAGTCTAGACAGGGGAAGTCTAGAGGCAGAGGTTGAGTTCGAACCTTGGACCTTCCGGTCAGTATATTCACGCTCTAACCACCAATCCACCTCGCCCCGGTTTGCGCAAGGACATAGTGACGAACATTACTGTTTTCGGGATCTCGTCATCAGGCCAGTACATATCTAATGGTTAAAATAGGGGCGAAAAATGAAATATGCTGCGAAGATTGGTTAGTGAAATTCAAAACCTGGAGACACGAACGACTGGTTGTCTGCGGCCCCACGTCGCATCGAGCTGGGTGTTATGAGACACTATAGACGCCGTTGAGTGACTTGGCTGGTCGACTGGACTCGGTACGTACGGACAATGGGGAACGATTCCTTCAGCTGTGTGCTGATCGCAGGCTGTTTTTATGGAGTACTAACTTCCGAAATAGCAGAAGCCGTCTGGTCACCTGATGTCCTCCAACAACAGGCCGGCCACAAACTCAAATCGACCACATTGCCATCAATTACCGATGGCGCGGGTCCATAACTGACTGCCGGTCGTTTTGGAACACATTTGTGGACTCTGACCACGCGCTCGTCCGGAGTCGCTTC